GAAAAAGAACATAGAATAGAAGAAGGAAGAGGTCGGGCGTCACTCACGATGCCGAAAACTTTGTAGAAAACGAGGAGGGACGAGGGGTGGCGGGCACGAGGGAGCTGCAGCCCCTCCTATTCTCGCAAACTTGCCTTAGGCAGGCTTGATGTCGAGAAAGGAATCGCGATAATGTGAGTAATAAAACGTTTTAAAACAACAAAGGACCAACCAGTCGTCGCACAATGCCAATAGCGTAACGAATGGGTCGTCCAATGCTCCAACCCATTGCAAAAGCTTCGCATACCCACTTCAGGTATAATTCCTGATCGTCGTCAGCCACTGCACGAACAATTGCACAACATTTTTTGGGAATGTTTAGCGGATACCATGCTTATCCGAAGAACGACGAGGGATAGCATAGTGAATGCTGGCCTACTACCCAGAAATTATTAATAATGGCGTAGTAAGTACCCAGCAAGTGTGCTTGTAGCAGTTACCCAAAGAGAGTTTTGAAAAGGCTCTGAAAGGCCGCTTTTCCAGCTTTCGCAGTGACTACGCTGCCGGTTCCGCGCAGGCCTGGCGTTTTTGTTTGCGTCATATATACTTGACCGGAATGTTGCCGCTCCTAATTTTGACGTGCCGTTTTGGCATTTTGGAGCTCCGACAAAACATTCGAACAATCTTTGAGGCAGGAGCGGCGCCAGAGTTTTTCCATTAGTGTGTGTGTGGGGGGGGGGGGGGGGTCGCACTCGCACTTACGACAAAGGTTAAATTCCTTCAGAAGCGGGGGGGAGGGGGTAGAATGGATGGATGAAAGAACCTTAATAATGTCCAATCAATCATTCTAGTGTTCTAGCTCGAAGTAGAGTAACAAGGTTTTCCAGTGACTCTAGGCCGAAGCGGGCCGCTCCCACATTGGGACCGTAAGACCTACAGTCTTTCAGTAGAACTGCACAGGGCAGCGTCCCATCGTTCCTGTTTTCCTTATACACGAGTTGCACAACTTGCACGTATATGTCACATCCGGGAACGAGAGGACCGAGAATCGCCATGTTTGTCAACATATGCAGCCGCCTGGAAGCGTAGCCGCAGGAGCTTCGCAGCTGCGAGATCTGGTTTTCGGTCGCATACCAGCTTCACCCACGAATATATCTGTGCCATTTTAGGATGCAGAACAAGAAGTGGAACTTCCGCTTCTAAAGCCAAGGCACAGCCGCGTGTTAGAACGTTTAGTCTTCCCGCGATTATTACAAATCAGTGCGCGCGAACGAGGATGTTGTCCGAAAAGCGCCGTATCGCTTGGCTGGCGCACATGAACCGAGAAAACCTGAAGAAAGAGAAATACGTCCATGTCTGCACTCATCACTTCATCACAGGCAAGGGTATTTTCGAGTTACGTCCAGGTATTACCACGCTTACCGACGTGATTACGTCGCTTCTCCTGAATTGTACCTACATTCTCGTCTCGTGTTGTTATACGAAGTCTAACGGTGCAACATATGCGAACGTGTTCAGTCGAGGTTCACACATATGTGTGAACCTCGACTAGACACCGAGCCTACTGCTGGATCACGGCTGTTATGACCGTGCTACTATCGCAGCATGTGCGCGTTTTCACTACTCTAGAAAGCGACAGACAAACACGCTGGATGCGGTCGTAGCGGGTACGCCGTTCACGGAACATCGCTCGACCTGCCTGCCATAGACGTAGAACCAGAACGTGATGAACCATTGGCATGAGATCCTGTCGAAGCTCATTCGTCTTGAGTCAAATGAAGTTTATCTTCGACCATAGCGCGAAATCGCGTAGTAACTAACCTCGCTAAGAACGACGACACGTTGTGATGGTAGCTGCTGTGCTTCTACGCTATTCGCCCATCCTCTGGTGAAATAGTTGCGGCCGTCCAGCGACTTGCAGACCTTCATTTGTTGCAGCGTGACGTGACTTGTCTAAAAGACCGAACAGTTGAACACAATGTCGGCGCGTGTCACGGAAAGCAGCAGATTAACGTAGCGCAGTTTGTACAGGTCGATGTCATATTGCACATTTCCATTTTTGCTCGGTAACGTGCACGGGTCGGTCCCACAAGTTCTTCAAAGAATGACGGGCAAAGCGCGTGCGCGTTTTCTTTCGACATAACGCTCGGTTGACGCCGACAAGCTCCGACACGGCAAGAGGCTGCACGCGCAGCCTGATTACAGTGTACTAGTACACTCTAGCCTGACTCAATTATGTTGACAAACATGGCGGCGACTCACTTTGCTAGCCGAAAATGACGTCATGTGCAACGCCTAATCATGGCCTTATCCGAGACCTGATCGCTGCAACATTTATCGCAAAAATATTGCTAAGGGGTTCGGGTAACTTCTTGTTTGTAATACAATTAGCGTAATGGACTGAGCTCTGTTTAGTTTACTGTGTGGAGGGGCGTCCTAGGTAGAAGTGTTCGGTTAGCTCGTTGCATGAGAGGAGGCGATCTCTGAATGCAGTCTGAAACCTCAGCATCTTCTTGCCTAGTGGCTGTATGGTATACAATTAAGTCCTCGAGCAGCACTGTGGGCAGATTCGTTGAGGTTCGCAGGAGCACCGTCAATTTCTTCCATAAGAGCAGGAAAGCAAATAGTAATGTGTGGTTTGTTTACTTCTTCCTTGGGCATTGCGAGCCTTTCTAGCGATTACTCCTCTGGCAAATGCTCGGATGGCTGCTCTAAAACCTCTGCGGATCCTCAGCCTATTTGGGTCTAAAAGTGCCAATGCAATGGCTATCTTGCCCGCGGCAGTTTCAGATTCTGTGGTGTACATGGTAGCCGAATCGGTAATTAGCTCAGCTTTACCGTTTTCAAGTACTATTGTGAAGGCTTGTTTATTGGACATGAAAGCCACGGCAACAAACGAACATTCCTCAGCCTGCTTTACCATTCTCAAGTACTGTTGTGAAGGCTTTTTTTTTTTCAGGTTTTTTTTTTCACATTATTAATGTGGTAAAGATTCCTTGGAGCAGGCATAACTGTTACGTTGTCCTTTAGATCATTGGGCATTTCTTTGTGGTTGTCATCTATCGCTGTAATTGGTGGCATACCAATTTGTTTGAGCATGTCCCTTCCTGCTAAGTTAATTGAGTATGAAATGGGCTCTTTCTTGTGCCCTGGCAATTTCCTCTAATGTATCGTGCATCCCTAGCTGCATGAGTTCTTCAGTTTCGATGTACGCAGGTAGCCCAAGAGCTACCTTGATTACCTTCCTCAGCAACGCTTGCAACAGTTTGTCTTTCAAATCTCTACCACTCGTGCAGGCTGCTATGTAGGCGAAGTGACATAGCACAAACGAGGGAACTAGTCTTGCAACGTTTTCTTTTCCAAGCCCATGTCCGTGGTTAGTCACTCTTTTGATGAGCCTGATTGCATTGTGCACTTTCCCAGCTATATGCTGGATTGTTTCAGTATTGGATGCATTGGCTTCTATCACCTTGTATGTTGGGAATAGGTGCATTGTGCTTTACTATGCTTGCTCCAAGGGAGGGGGGGCAAAGGGGGCAGGTGGCAATTTTGGGGTACTCCAGCACCTCATAGCCCAGCTTGGTGGTGCCACCCCTGCATGAGGTTATCGTTGTGCGCTTGTGTTTGCAGACAAAATGTTTGAGAAATGTCTCAAGTTAAGCGTGAACTTGTTAGGTAGAATAAACAGTATGGAAGCACATTTGAAACGTAAATATGAAACTTTGAAAAGAAAGTGTCTATTTTGGGTCTTCCAGCTCATAGACCAAGCTTACGTCTAAGCTGTAGTAGCCGTTTCGAGACGTTCTTTATAGGTATTGCGTTTTGTGGGCAGGGGTCACACAATGTTAATTGTGCAACGAGTGTGTGGTTTTCAGCTTTCCACCCACTACAAGAATGTGCTCATCCATAATTCCCCATCGTGATCCGTCACACGCAGAGTTAATGAAGTGCACACACTGCCTTACATATGTGTAGCAGGTACCTCGCTCATATGCAGAAGTACGAAGGATGACATAGTGACCGCGTGCTTCGCTACTTCACAAAGGTCATGATTTGTGGTTTACCGGACACCTTGCATGTGCTTTGGTATTATACAGTTGCCCCGAGAGAATTCTGAAAGGCCTCTGAATTCTGAAAGGCTCTTGAAGCTTTCACTGCGACAGCGCAGTGCTTTTTGCACAGACCTGGCATTTTTTGTTCTTGGGCTTGCACAGTGCAAACAGTAGGAACATATTATATATATATAAAATGTGCCAGAAAAACTCATCAGAGTGTTTCAGCCAACAAGTGTGGGCGTGATCCAATTCACTGTACCTCAATATCTAGATAGATTATTGTAAAAGTCTTTTGCACTTTTATGCTTTCAAATTTGCTGATCCTTTTCTTTCTAGTGTAGCAAGTCGATTTAAACTTTCAAATCTGCATTCATGAAATTGATATCATTACCCACCCGGCCGTGACAAGATTATTGTCTTTGTAATTTTGGTGTATACACAGTTGAAACTCTTTACAAGAGGCATGCTCTGGGCAGCAGTTTTCTTTCATACAAGATGCTTCTTATAAGCAGGGTACCTCGTATTCATTTTCTTATGAACCCGTAGTTTACTGTAGGCACACTGGTGCGTCTTACATTCATTTGTCTCTTATATCAGCGTCTCTTGAAAAGAGGTTAGAATGTATACCTAGTTATATTCCGCTGCAATTTTCTCTTGTATTACACTGTACGAGATGTAAAGTTGTTTTGAATTTTTTTATCACTGGCATTTCACCCTTACGGTTTATTGTAGTCTTTATGTACTGCTCGTTATATGCCATGTATGCTAGCCATTTTGGCACTCCCAATTGAAGTAATTTTCCCTTCCTTGCCATTCACATTCAGGTTTTGATGAGTTCAACAGGGCATGACTGTCTCCTTGTAATGCACTGCGTATTCAGAATACCGCAAACAAATTACCTATCGTCTCCATGCAAGTTGTTCACTCGGCACTAGGTATAAAAAAAAAACACTCGACAGAAGAGGGTATGACACATGATACAAGTCTTTTATTATCAGGTTCCAAAATAGAAACAAAAAAGAACAAGCACAATAAGGAACATGGATGTGGTTTCCATCACGGGTATGGCAATTACATAAATACACGGCAGCCTCTTTGCCTTAAAGGCTGCACTCTCTGTACATGTGATTACACGAGAAAATAAACAAGTCACATCAACAAAACAGGAGACAAAAAAAGATGCAATCCCTAGAAGGACAGAGAAAGCGCGCATCTGTGAAGTGTCGCAACTGTCTCGACTCCGTGTCTCGTCTCGTTTTACGAACGGCAAACACGACTTTTCGGGCAGTTACCAATGAGCATATGTGTATATATATATATACTCTCTCTTGCACTCTTGTTCCGTTCCTCTCTCATTCTCTCCAAACTACCTTCTCCAACTTCCGGCGACTCCTAAAGACGTTTATCACTGTTTTGGCGCTCTCGTGTTCATGGAATGCACTGCGATTCTCGTACACTGGTAGCACCAACTCTCCCGCGACATCGCACATGAACTTTTTCTTTTTCCCTTAAAACCTGGTATCAAACGTGCAGTCGTTGCCGACGGTGTGGCAGCGTCTGGCCAGCTCTGGTAGCACCACGGTTACACAGGTAGCTGCTGGTTATGGGATCGACGGGACTTTCGCACGCTCACGTCCAAATCGTCCACACGTTCGATGGGAATGCGTTTACTTCTCTGTACAGTCCACATCGGAATGGCTCCGTCATTTTTTTTTTCTGCCAAAACACTTGTTCCCTAAAAAGCCTGGTCCAGCCAGTCTAGGTGGGAAAGGGGTTGTGTCTTTAAGGAAGATGGGAGAGGGGGTAACCTGGATTTCTTCTTCAAAATGTGGAGGGTGGTTGTTGGTGTTTTTTTTTTTTCTTTTCCCGGGCTTTTTTTTCTTTTTCTCGGTTCAGTGTTTCACTTGGTGACTGATGATGGCCGCACACTTCTTCGCGCCTTCGCCGAGGATGAAGTTTTCGTGGAGTCCCTCGACCTCCTTGACTTCGACCTTGCCGTTGCAGCACTGCGAAGAAGAGAAAAACAATTAAATGTCATGCGTTCTTGTCAGTCGCATAGAGAATCACTGTCGGTCACATAAAAGAAAAGATTTGAGAGAATGGAAAACATTTCGGCGCATGAATCATTATTGCGTAACGAGACACGAGTTCCCAAGTAGTGCTCGCACAAAGCCACGACTAGCTTAATTGCTCAATGGTTTTTCCTTTGTCAAAGATTGTTCAAATCAGATCTGCTACTCTCAACAGCACGATCCACTTACTGTTCGAGCACGCCAGTTTTACACCACAAGAAAGAAATGTTCCTTTTCTCTCGCTTCGAAAATTCATAGTCGTTCCCAGCAAAACTTTACTACACACCCAAAGTCCAGTCACAATACATACACTCAGTTCAATAACCAAGCGCCCACGTGTAGTTACTCACGTACGACCTCATTCCAAAAAGAGCAAAGCAGAACAAGGATGAAGAAAAATACAACGGGACAGGTGCTGACTTGCTGTGCTGTTCTCGAAGTGAACCATAACAACTTGCCCATGTTCCTCCTTACAGTACTTATGGCCTCATTCATTCGTACTAGTGGTCACACATGACCTCATACATTTGACAGTAAGTGCTCACACACATTGATTTGGCCATCAATCCAAGTGAACCTTACAGTCGTGCTTTCATAGTCTAGCAAAAAACATGTCCTCACCTCAGAGAGACCGTAGTCGGACGGGAGCTGGCTCGCCATCTTTCGTGGCCTGGACGCCTTGATGAGCACGACGTCGCCGTGGAATTTGGCATGCGGCTTGTAGTTGGAACCGGCCTTGAGGAACTCGTAGAAGACTCGTGTGGCCGTCGCCACGTCCTGGCGGCTCGGGTGCACGTTGGGGTACGCCTTGAGGAGGATGTCGGTGGCCGCCTCCTGCTTGGCGTCCCAGTTCGGGTACTGGTTCATCTGTTTCCGTACCTGCGTCAGCAAAAGGCCGGGGTTCTCAAAAGGGGGCTCAGGCACACTGACATGCGTACAACCGGAAGCATGATTGACACAGCTGTTGGCATCAAGGTTGCAACCCGCTGCAAGTGTTCATCAGGCCTCGCCATAACACGATCATATCTGTTGCAAAAATAACTTCTCTATGTCCAAAAAGTCGTTATAAATTTGTTATTTCTTTCTCAATCACTTTGTAACAGTCGATGATTCGTTTTATCCATACTCGCTGTACTGAGGTTTGATTATACTGACAGAGCCCATTTATTTGCAAATACCAAAGTCTGTCACCTCTACTTATTATTATACCGAGCTGTTCACTACAATTGTGCAATTCTTTTACTGTAATAGTGCTGGCATTTTTTTCGATTTCATTATCCTCATACCAGTGATCATTTCAGCTTCAGACTTCTAACCAACAGCTTTCACACTCAGGTGAAGCTTTTTTTTTTCTGCTCTCTAGTATAGAATAATGTGTTATATGCGAGTGTGGTTGGATAGTTCAAGCCACAATGTCATTTCAAACGCTCACCATTCCGCAACTTTCGGCAACAGGGAAACCCACCTCGATGTAGTCGATGTTCAGGTACTGCATGAGGAAGGCGCAGAAGAGCGCAGGACTCCTCTTCGTCCTTGCTGCCGGTGAAGCGAGACCTGTGGTGAGCCGTGTGCACGGCCATGTAGTGGGGCGCGCCGTCCAGGAGGGTCAGGCTGGCCACGGACGCTCCCGCCGCTTGCAGCTGCACGGCGATCTCGAAGGCTACTGTGGCACCGAAGGAGTAGCCAACTATGTGGTAGGGGCCCTTGGGCTGAACCTCGGCGAGTTTCTGCAATGGTAGGAAAGCAAAAAGAGCGCGATTAGTCAGCTACGTTCAACGCTTTCTTATGCATTTATATGCCAGCTACGCTTGGGTTTCATATTGCAACTACTCTCAAACCTCATTATAACAAAGTAGTATCTTACACAAACATAAGTTTGTTTTATCCAAAAATTTGTTATAACGGTGTATTTCTAACACAGTGTCTATTGCAAAACTACTCTTCATTTACTTCGTTATAACCAACACTTCATTATATCCGGGTTTGTTATATCGAGGTGTATATGTCTGCTACGTCCAGTGCTTTGTATGCAGATACGAGTTTCTTTACGCAACTGTATGTTGGCCGCATTTAGTGTTTCCTGGTGCAACTATAAGTCAGCCACATCTATCTTCTAATGGAGCTGTATGTCGGCTATGTAGAGCACTCCCTTATGCAACTGTTGATCGTCATAATAAAGCTTGTTTACCCTTTTCCGGTCACTATTTATCACCAGCTAGCCAACAAACGTTATGAGGTTTTCACTCTGTGCAACACACGCCTTTTGGTTGGTACAGCTGAAAAGACAGAGAAGACATGCCGTCCACAGTATTGCTGGTGTTAATCCACTTATTCATACCCTGGAGATTTCAGATTCTGAATTAGCCAAATTTAAAAGAAAAGCAAAAGAGATAACTCTCGCCTGATTAGAGCAATTTTAAGTACATATTTTCGCAGCGAAACTTAAATGAGCAATCATTTAAAAAAAAGCATTAGGAACAATTATCAGCCAATTCAATACCAAAGAGGCCGTTTGAGCGGTGGAAACCACTACAGTGCTAAAAAAACAAGTTCTGCAATCCACCAGTTAATGCCAGCTCACCTGGATGTAGATAGCGGCCATCTCTTCAATGGACCGCACTGGAATGTCGGGCGTCCGCTGCACTCCAACTGCACGAACAGGGAGGTGACTGGCCACCTCCATCAAGCCGTTGACGTGTCCCTCAATCGGGTGCATAACAAAGACGGGCGAGGCGCCCTTCAGGCCGTTCATCTCAAGGAGGATACTGTGGGGAACTAGCTCCTTGACGAGCGTCAACCGCGGTACTTCAGACACGTCCGCAGATTCTGCGAGGGCAAAAAAGATGCGTCTTTTAGAGTACAACCCTGACATTACGACAATAGGGTACAATCCTTACAGCATGGCGAGAGAGTAAAACCCCTAAAATACAACCCTCAGAATATAAAATAAGAGTACCACCTTTAGACTACACCCCTTGGGATGCTGCCCTTAAGGTGCAGCAATCGGAGTCCAAACCTTAGAGTGCACCTTTTAGGGCACAGCCCTTCGAGTACAGCCCCTACAGCATAGCCCTTTGGGTACAGTTCTTAGGATACAGTCGGAGTCCAGCCCTCAGACAGCAACGTGCACACTGACCCTAAGAGATGAGCTTTTAGACTATGGTGACACTAACTATAACTAAGCAAAGGTACTCCCACAAAGTCCAATATGGTCAAGTTCACCACATTTTCTATTTCACTTAACTTTTAGATGTTTGAAAGTGTTTGTTCTCAGAGCAGTGGTACATGTCAGTACGTTGTTCAGGACAGGCTGATGTATGTGCACGATGACCACTGGCAGCCCCTCCTGCAGTTTCTTACTTACAAGCGTGCATGAGGGGCGGCTGAAGCCTCTCGCCCCCCCCTCCCAAATAATTGGCGACTCTCTCGACGATGACCTCAAAACTCTACAAAACTGTATAGTCTACACCCAGCAATTGATGATAACGCAAGTCTGAGCTCGAGCTAGTTGGTATTGCTTCATTGCAGCAAAACAGCACTGCGAAAAACAAAAAACGGACGACCCCTACCTTCGCTCTCGGGAGGTGTTGCGGTGCCGTCAGACTTTGTCGACCCACCACTGCTGGCTCCTCCACTGATCTCACGCAGCCTGCTGATGGTGAGCTGCCGGATCTCTTGCATAGACAGGGCGACGTCATAGTCCCGCTCGATAGTCTGCTTCACCTCGACACCCATGAGCGAGTCCATGCCCAACTCGCCGAGGCTTATGTTCGGGTTCAGGCTGGAGGGGTCCTTTACGCCTGCACGCATGAATCAAGCGGAACAATGTCAATAAAAAGAGACGACGAGAAACGAAGGTCTATGGGAAAAAAACACCCGTTGGTTTTATACTGACGTTTGAACGAGAAAACACGGTGCTCTTGAATGAGACAAGAGAAGACGGGATAGCTAGAAATCCAGTATATTGTGCAGCTCACGACTACAAGTGGCGAGCTTACGCCTTGCGTTTACGTACAGCGCTAATGTACTCCACCTACATCTTGCGTTTACATCCTATCTTCAGATACTGTACATACATCCTGAATTTATGTCGTGGGTGTCCTAAGCACTTGTGCAGTATTCTCTTGTACAGATTACTTTCACAGACATCATGACATGTGCCATCTGTGGGTACTAGCGCATTCAAAAGCTGCTCAACACATCAGGTGTTTCCGCACACCATAATTATTCGAACAACGGTAGCCTGGTGAAAGACGGTTAGTCTACGCAAAGCAACACGCGAGGTAATATGAGGCACCAGCGACCTCGTAGCTGCCGCGCTCAACCGAGATTTCCTAGCATGCTCACCAATATTATTAGCTAGAATTTAATGCCCCAAAACCACACTACAATTATGAGAGATGCCGTAGCGGAGGGCTCCAGAATATTCGACGATCTGGTGTTCCCCAAGGTGCACCGAAATCGTACGGTGCAAGGGCCTCCTAGCATTTCCCCTCCACAAAGATGCGATCGTCGCAGCTGGAGCGCACTGCTTACCGAGAATGTGTGCGATGGACTGTACGAAGGTCTTGCTTGTTCTTGCCGTCGGACTTGGCAGAGAGGTCGGCCTTGACCAAGCTCGACACTACCGGATGACTCTGGCTAAGGAACCGGTCCATGACAGCCATGCACGAGCTTATCTTCTGAGGCAGGGTGCCGCCGACAACCACAGTCGGCGCCCATGGTGTCATGGAGGACACCGACGTCACCAATGGCACCCCACTGGATGGCCAAGCCTAGAAGGGTGCAATGATGTAACAGTATAAGTATTGCAGCTGTGTGCTGACACACAAGAATTGATTCAGTTAAGTACTGCTGAGAAAAATATGAGATAGCTTTGATACTTTTTCTTTCTGTTATACAATCAGGCCTCATAAAATTGCATCTGACATTAAGATAACTTCATTATTCTCAAAAATTTGTTAAAAATATTCTCTCGACACTGTCCGACAAAGCTATGGATTTTTCATTTACAGTGTTAAAACAGATAATTCACTATATTTGTGTTTGCTAAAATTAATTGGGAATGCAAATGCACACCACAGGCACTGTACGATTGTCAAGACAATTGTTTTTACTTTATCATTAGTATATCCAATCATTTGTTTGTACATAATCCTTATATTCATGTGACTGCATTTTAAGGTATCGTTGCTTTTGAAATCGATTAGGTTTGTTTTATAGAGAAACGTTACACGTTTTGATGCTTATTAAGTACCTTACTACTATGTTTGCACGACCACACAGTAATATTTATAAGCCATCAGTGTGGAATTCCAGTACATCACTGAAGCTGCTGAAAGTATCAAGAAGAGATTCTCAGCAGTGTTCCTGTCAAATTTCTGTTTGAAATTCTAAACTTATTCAGTCTCGCCACCAGCTTCTATTGAGGTGTCCTTGCTCAGTTTTTTGGTCTATGCTGGTCTACTCCCGAGCCCCCGTTTAGGATAAAGCATTTTTTAGTCAACTGCAGTGCAAGCTTCTTTTCCTGTAATGTTTAACATACGATGAGAAACGAAACACGCAGATATGCACCAGTGAATTTGAATAGCAGGCTTGTAGGCTTCCATAAACACTTGCGACATCACAATCATATTGCAGAAAGGATGCACATCAGCTTATAAGGGTTACACAATGATCTGTCGTGCCTGAAATTGCAGTGCCTGAAATTTCTATCCTACTTTTACACTTCGCTTGCATAGCGGTCATAAAGCAACAACCTGACACTTCTGCCCCCCCCCCCCCCACAGAAAGAATGCAGCGCTGCCAAACACAGCAGCCAATATGTATGCCAATCTATGTAAGTCTACATGCCAGCTCACCAGGCAGGCCGTCCGCAACTCTTCGCTCGCAGATCCGCTCCATGACCGAGTTGGCGTAGCCGTAGTTGGTCTGCCCGGCGTTGCCCCGCCCACAGGACACGGAGGAAAAGACAACGAAGTGGTCCAGCTCCGGGCACATCTTCCGTGACAGTTCGTCGAGGCGCAGCGTCCCGTCGACCTTGGGCTTGCACACGGTCTCATAGGCCTCGGCCGTCTGGTTCTCGAGCAGTGCGTCCCGAAGAACCTGCACAGCAAGACCAAAAGACAAGGCGGTTGGTACATCATGAGAAACTTCGAGCACAAACTAAGACTGACAAAGAGGGAGGCAACGACACCAGATGCACAGCATATATGAGCCATTCGATGAGATTCATAACAGCTCACTCTTAAAATTTAAGACTCGCAAGTGCAAACTCCTATGATGCTTCCGTAAGTACTTGCCCTGACACACCATTTTCTAAATGAAGTAGGCCGACCAAACTAAACATAAATTTATCTATAACGCATGGAAATATATTGGAAACATAGTCTTAGCCATCAGTTTGCTACGCTGCATTTCACTAATTGACAGTAATAGGCTAAGTGAAACTCGCTCAAACTAATAGACTTTAACAGACACTAATTAGTACTGACACGCACAGCTTCTATTTAGACTTTTGGTCAGTGATACAGAAGGTATAAGTTCACAATTCAGTTCTTCAACAGTGTCGTTCACAGATAAAAGATGCAAGTTGTCACCACTAACCACTGCCAAGTTGAAGATGCCGCCGACAGGTCCCAGCTTAACGGCATCTTCAAGGATCTGTCGGGCTCCCTTCTCAGTCGAGGCGTCGGCCTTGCTCACTGCCACCTTACAGCCGACCTGCTGCCACCGGTGGAGGCACAGCTTCTGGTATCCCGTCCGGATGCCAGATCGGGCGCTAAGCACCAGCTTGCGGCATCCGCGGTGCACCATCCAGTCGGCGAGCTCCAGACCGAAACCACCGAGGCCGCCCGCGATCACGTACGACTTGTGCTCGTAGAAACAGGTGCGCGCGACGGCCTCTACGGTGATCGGTGTGGCGGGTATCGTCTTGCGTGGCGTCTCCTCCGGCCTGACCTGTTAGTTTCAAACAATGAGAGTTAGCTTCCATGCGTGTGTTAAGAATATAAAAGAACACATTTTCAACCACTGTTGCTGTAAGCCCAGAGTAGGGACATTGTAGGGCCCACTAGCAAATAGGATGGATTATACAGTAAATGTTATTACAGTGTAACCCAGTTTATGTGACTACAGGGTACAAACAGACACTTTTTATACCGTTCATTAAAGAAGTCCACCTAACCACGGCATTATTAGAAAGAAAAGAGCTCGACTGCACTTTTCTTTTTCTACCTGTCATCACTGGCAAAAATACATAAAAAGTTCCCACGTTATTGTATGATAATTGGATGAGCGCAAGATTAAGTCCTCGACGACATGCACTGTCTTGAACAAGGAAAGAACAAAAAACATAAACAATGTCAAACGCACCTCCAGCACCACTTTGCCCATGTGCTTTCCAGATGCCATGAACCGGAACGCCTCTTCTGCCTGGTCTCTCGTGAACTTGATGGCGTCCAGGGGCCGCACTGCGCCCGAGGCAATGCCCTCACGAACGAGCTCGGCCACACGGCGCTTGTCGGCCGCCACAAAGGGGTCGTCGCCGAACAGAGCATCCAGCAGAATGCCGTGGAAGGTGACGTTCTTGAGGAACACGGACATGCCGAGCGGGGAGTTCTTGGAGAGATCGAACTTGCCGATCTCGAGGAACCGGCCGTGGGTGGCCAGACACCGGACACTGGCCTGCAGCTTCTCCTCGGCCAGAGAGTTGAGCACAAGGTCGACGCCTGAAACAAGAGCAAGGATAGATTAATTTTCACCGCCTGAAGTTGCTTGCATCTAACCTTAAGTACAAGCGTTGCACTACCACCTAAATGCAGCCAGGAATTGTACCTGCATCTTCAAGCTCAACCTCAAAACACCTTAGTGGCGAGGCTAGCGTGATAATTTAGCTTAATATTACCAATGATTGATATAAAAAAACTTCTGCTTAGACCCCTGAATTATACTGACAAGAGTTTGTTTATTTACGCAGTATACACCTGACAAAATGAAGACAGCATTGACCTTATTTAGCCCCTGCAATGGACAAGCACTCACCTCTTCCCTTTGTCTCGATCAAAATGTGCTCCTCGAACGAGAGATCGCGCGAGTTTGCGAAGTGGCGGTCCTCGAGCTGCGGGAAGCGGCGCTTGAGAAACTCTCGCTTCTCCTTGGAACCTGAGAAATAAGATGAAGAGAGAATGTAAGTTCAACAAATGTATCAGTTACACTACTACCTATTGTCTGTCACATACCCATATTGCAGTGGCACACAAAAACCAAATGACAGCAGAATCGAATTCTTGTCAACGAGTACACAGTATTAAACGTCCTTCAATTAGATCAAGTTCTTGCACAAATAGTTTGTAATGATGGAAAGTCTGAAGAAGAGACATGCATTAACCATAATCTAGCCGTCCCTACAAGGAACTGCTTGCCCATTGACTGTACTCTGAGCAAGGGGGTTAGACCTTCGGTATGAAAGAACTATGAGGAGCAGCAGCAATACTCTCCAATACTAATATTTGAAGTTTCTTTGAATATGCAAAACTTTTGTTTTTGGATATCTTTTAAAAAAGACACACACCACGAAGCAGTCCCTTAAAAGCTGGGTGTCAGGCCATCATTTTCAGATCAACCCATAATTTGATCGAGGCGCAATGGTGCCTCCTATACTTAACTGTTTTTTCCACCTGAGAAGAGTTTAACCGCACTTTGGTGTTAGTTTTTTTTTTTTTTTACTGAGTTTTTGCCAATAATACACTCTCCCTTCCTGTAATGCCATCCTGCACCCGAAGAGTAACGTAATTAAATAAAAAAGTAGCTGTGTGTCCTTTGAGACACAAGCTCATAAGTTGAAAAGAAACTAATCACAGTTTCTCCGCCCCAAACACTTACCACAAGTGGTGAAGACTGTGCAGCCCATGGAAAGGGCGATCGAGATGGCGGCCTGTCCGACACCTCCGCTGCCGGAGTGAACCAGCAGGGACTCCCCGGGCCTCATGTTGCCTCGGACCACGAGGGCGTAGTAGGCAGTCGAGTAGGCCACCGGAACCGTGGAGGCCTCCTCGAGGCTCCACGACTCTGGTACCTCCCACAGGAAGCCCGGATCGGCGGCCAGCGCCGTTGCCATGCCCTCAGAAGACACTGCTCCCATGACCCTGCGACCCTTGGGGTCGCGGCCGGAGAACTCCAGGCCGAGGACGCAGTCGGAGGTAGCCAGGTTGCCTGTTTGAGTAAGCCAACAAGTTAATTAGTGTGCTGACAAGTTAGTTAGTCTGCTTTTTACTTACAGGTGAGAGGAAAAGTTTGTAATGTATGTGCACAGTAAGGGGCAATATAAAAGGCAACACTAACTTTATGTTTAGTCAGTGATTACTTATAGCTTATCCATATTCATGCGACTCAGTGAATCACTAACAGTAGCTTTCCACTTGAGCATTTAGTGTCATGAAAGCTTTTGTGCTTATCAATTCAGCCCTACGACTTCTAAAATAATTTCCAGGGTTCTCTCTTATATTGCCCAGAATCTTACATATATGCTACATGAAATAAAAAAAAATTATATATGTGTCTATGACACCTCAGATACCAGCAACGGTAAATAAAGAAAATGTGGGTTTATTAAGCACGCGACATGTCGCATTATTAAGGGTCAAGAAATGTACGAACACAAGAGACTGACAACCACGCATCTGAGGGCAAATAATGCTTGTTTCTTCTATGTAGGTTATTACAAATCAGCCATTTTTACCTTTTACTTTATTTTGTGCAAGTTAATTGGCAACAAGCTGCATCCATTCACCATTTGAACTATATCTGTCTAAATTACACTAAGCTCCCTATAATGACCTAAACTTATTTATCATCTAAGCCTAGTGAAGCAGTCATGCCTGCTGATCGTGTGTGTCAACGCCTTCACCTTTTCAAGACCTCCAAACTACTGCAACGCAACATGTCTGCGCAACAGCAATTGTTTCCAAAATTAGAAAATATTGCTGCTGGAAGAAAGACTGTGGGCAATGAGCAGTCACAAGCTACAACAAGGAAAACGAGATCGGTCAACAGCACTTACCAGGCAAGGCATCTGGCGGAAGCTTTCCGGTAGCCAGCATGATGTCTCGGAAGTTCAGTGGAGCATAGTACACGCTGCACAGAACGCCGCTCGCGGTGCTGGATGGTGATGCGTATCGCAGCGGTGATTCGTACCACTGCAGACTGGACAGGTCGCCTCGGGTCTGCACATTCAGGAATGCGTACGGCGTGACAGTCTTCGGGGCTCCGTTGGATTGTGTCACCACGTGCCTGTACGAACCCCACTGTCCGTCGCGGTAGACGTTCATGACCAGGTCCTTCTCCAGTATCTCCTTGTACGCCGGATTGCTCGGGCTGAAGTCAGCAACCTTGTTCGATCCCTTGACGCTCGCGTTGAAGATGCACCTGACGTGGCTCCCGGTTTCCTGTCGAAGGCAGTTAGTTAATCCTACGACTCCACTGACACCTGCATCCTCAGCGAGCAGCCAGAGGTTCTCTCCAGCAGGTTTGCTCTCAAACTCAACAGCCTTGGTCTTGAGAGGCTCGACCCAATCGTAGCCCATGTTCTTCACCTTGATCACCTCCTGCTTGGCAGCATCGACAGGTGCCATCTTTCGCAGCAGGAGCAGCGTGGACACGTTGTTGGACTTGAGGCCGACCACGTGGAATCCATGGGCACGGAACGCAGCCTCCATGACGTTGCTGGCATGGACCCGGAGTGGGACCTTTCCAACGGTTGACAGGAACATCTCGGCCGGAGTGAGGGCAGTGCGGTGGGCCAGCAGGACAAAGCCGTTGTCCTTGCACTGTGAGAACAGTTCCTCGGCCAGAGATTCTGGACTCTTAACGGATGTGCCGGAAACGCCACGCAAGACTATGAGGTCCGCTTCTGGAAGCCCATTCTTGGCGGCCGAGGTGGGGTCCCACACAACTGTCTTCGTTCCTTCTGGAAGCTGCTCAGCTAGGATTGTGTCGGGAGCCGGGTGAGCCACGGTGTAGTCGGTTTTGAGCAGGATGTGGGAGATTCTGAGCAGTTCTGTCACCCATGGCGCCAGCACCGTGCTGCCGTCACCGGCTAGTTCGAGGACACGAATCTTCTTGGTGCTTGTGTTCTCGACGACGACGTCCAAGAGGTACCGCAACGGGTCCTCTTCGAAAAGCACCGTGTTGAGGAAGTCGCGCTCCAGGTCCTCTTTGTGGGCAGCCAGAGCTGACTGTACGGTAGCAACCAGAGATGCGGCCGAACCGTTGGCCTGCTTCTGGATGGCAGCCAGCACCTTGAGGAGGCCGTGGTTGTCGCCGGGGTTCTCCAGGTACCGGTTAAGAACCTGCTCGGGAGCTTCGCGGAAACCGTTCATGACGTCAGAGATCTGTGCCTTGTTCTTGCCACAGGACTCGAGGACACGCCGGGCGACGCCGCAGCATACCTCAACGTACTCGCGGATGCAAGACTCGCGCTCATTGCGAGCGGTGTTGTCATCCGTGTACGGCACGAACTGGTACTCCTCGAGGAAGGGCGACTGTTGGGTGGTGCGTCTTGGGGCGATGCTTGCCTTCAGGCCACGCAGGGCGACACCGCCAGCGCGACACGTGTTGAGGTAGCGGTCGAAGACTATGTCGATGCCTGTAAGATAATGTTCGAAAATGAGAAACGAAAGAATGCGTGCAAGCAAGGACCTCCAAAGTATGTATACCAATGTCATTTTGGGCTGCTATTACAGTAACACTTATGTTGCACATGTTAACATCCCATCCCAACTATTTCCCGACTAAGAAAGTGTTGGGGAATGCAGTTGATATATGGCACTAGGCGCGAAGTAAAAAATGCTGGGTTCCATAAATACACTTCAGGCCATATCTTGTATATTCTTCATTCTAAGGCTCCTCCAAAAAATGACAGAAGACAGACAGACACTTAAAAACTGTAAGCATGACAGACAAGAACGTAAAATAAAACCGAGACGTTATTGTCTGCCATGCTTACTCCAACTTCATAGATGCAAATCAACTAGACAAATGGGTTTTAGCGATACTCAAGATAGAAAAAAAAATGAAACACAGCTAATACAAGAACTGGAAGTTGGACGAGGCTTTACTACACTACAATAACTGCCCACTTACTAACTAGCTCTCCATGCACAGCAGGCCATATTGTAGCATGTTCAGTGCAGTCGATTTAATGACTACGATTATCATTATCATATGCAGTTGTGCATACGTTCATAACAAATTGGCAAGTTAATGAATAAATTTTCAAATCAGATACAGCCTGGCTGTTGTGACGCTTTACTATACTACAATTTTATGTTGCGGGTGGTCTTACAAACACCGAGAAGTTAATCACTGGTGCAGCGCGCTACTCACCGGCATCTCCGGCCTTCTCGGCAACCTTGGCCTGAACGCCGGGGTCAACGCGGCACGACTGGATCCTGACGGGCAGGTTCAGGGTTCGCACAGGGTTGCCCAGGATGCTGAACTGCAGCATGGTGTCGATGAAGGTCACCCAGTTGTCCTCCCACTTTAGCTTGCCGTATGGCTCTGCGATAGTCATCATTCGGAAAGTGTTGCATAAAAACAAGAAGCAGAACCATATTGTTTCACACAAAGCAATTCTCCTACAGGTGTGAATTATCACAAATTATACACATGCCAAACTCGCACAAATCCGCTCAAAGACATCCAATATTCTCCTGATACATTTAGAAGCTTGTGATATGTCGTTTTATGGATTTATTCATCATTATTCATAATTCGTGTGTAATTAAAGGTATATATATACAAAGGTGAGTTATGTTCTCTTATTGTATAAAAATAATTCTCTCAAGCTCAAAATACATAAGCGACTTGTTAAGTCCATTCCGAGCAAACATAAATTATAGTTGAAAAAAAAAAAAATGTTGCACAGAAAAGTAGAGGGGGGGGGGGGGGGAGCACATTTACGAGAAAAGGTGAAGGGACAAGCGCAAGGTCACAAAAATCCAATGTCATCCGAGACACAGCGCACTATTTGAAAGCTACAGAAGCGCAGGCCAATAGACTCACTAGTGAGGTCGGCCTTGATGATTCCTTGAAAGGCTCCGGTGTACTCGTAGCCCCGCAGCCTGAGCTCCTTGTAGATGTCCTCGGCCTCGAGCTCGTAGGCCACGGTCTCGGCCGGCGTGCCGGGCGGCTCCTTCTCCAAGAGCTTCTCGCCCTCCTCGGCCATGCGGATGCGGCCACTCGCGGCCACCATGCCGGCCTCACACACCTCAAACTCGCCCGAGGCGCGCATAATGTTGACCAAGAACTTAACGGAGCCTAACGTAAACAGAATAAAAAACAGTCAAACCAAAAAATGCGGGTATAACAAATTATAGGCTACAAAAAATAAATAATTTAACAACAGTCCTGCAACTATTGCAGCATGAAAAATATACGGTTGTAACAAATTTTCGAACTCAACAAATCTATATTCATGGCACGCACAATTTCGTAGCAACAAGGCTTCACTGTACCATATTTGTCGTTATTTTACATCCCAAAACCGCGATATGATTATGAGAGATTGCAAAAAGTTGAAACAACTGAACAGCCCTTTTTTTTTTCCACTGTCAAAGCTTGAGAGAACAGGCACATTCTCATTTCCGTTTCCTATGTGTTCTCATCATCTACCGCACACTATGACGCAGATTATGCGGACCGTGTTGTTTGGGATGCCTCGACTATTGACTCACCGTTCTTGGGAAGTATGGTGGCCCGGTGAAGGATCACGTCCTCAAACACAACGGGCACCTGGTGGTATGGCTTGCCAGAGCGCTTGGTCAGAGACTTCCAGGCCAGCACCATGTAGCCGGTGGCGGGGAACAGGACGCGGCCGTCCAACTGGTGACCGGCCAGGTAGGCGTCGCCCTCGTTGGCCTCGAGGTCGACCTCGACGATCTCCTCGGAAACCTGTGGCAGAAGCGTTGATTCAAACAAGTGAGTACACAATGCGTTGCAATATGAATTCGCACTTCCGTATTCTAGACCATCCTTCCACTCAACACTGCACGTCAACTCAAGGAAGTCAGTGGCATTGTCGAACACAAGAGAGAAGTGAGGACCACACAAACACCGAAAACGAGTTGCTAATTGCAGTTTGTGCTGACCAGACTTTTCTAGTGCATTTATGTTTGCATGCCTCATTTTTCCATCATGAAATTCCTCATTAGTCGCAGTTCACAAGAAGTGCAGTGTCATTTTTGGATAAGCAGTGGCACTTCGCTCACCTCAGTCGAGTGAGGGACGCACTCCAAGTTAGAGATTGTCTGAAAATTAGGGAAGTAAATCTCCTTCTGCTCCGTTTCAATATAATGCAGCGACACTACACCTTTCTTTAGCCACATCTCTTGGCATGCCTAATCTATCTTATCTCTCACTCTCTTTCAGAGGTGCCCCCCTTTCCCCAAAGCAGTTTTATCTCGGCGTTTAGACTCTCAGCTGGGTATAAAGGACACAGATATAATGGATTATATAGCACATTCTCAGGTGTAGCAAAGTTATATTCATTCTGTATGCTGCTTCAATATAATTAGGTTTGAGTGTGTAAGAGTTGCATGCATGTACGAAGTAATCCTTCGCAGGCGCATCTGCCACCAGATTCACCAACAACCGCGAGCGCCTCTCACCTGCGCCGAGGTGCTGAAGTCGTTCCAGGTGACCACCGTCCACTGCTGCGAGTGGTCCCAGCTGACCAGGTGGCCGATGCTGGGCGTGCCGCGAGGCACCGGGAACGGCACGGGCGGGTACAGTGGCGTCAGGTCGAGCTGGACTCCCAGGGCATGCAGCTTGCCCAGAGTGTTGAGGAAGAACTTGGGGTTGTCGTCGTTGCGCTTCATGAGGCCCAGGCAGGTGGCGGAGCCAACCGCTCGCCGGAGAATGGCCTGCGGGGTTGAAAGAGCGGGCATTTAGGGACGCTTTCCTGTGGACGACCTCACTTTCGACAAGCAGGCGCCACCATCATAGACCGATGCTCGCCCTTTCCCTCCGGTCAACAAGTGAACAGTACACCCTCATTAAACAAAACCTGAAGGGACCAGCAAAAAATATTCCGTTTCACAGGAGTTCCATTTACTGAGAGATGACCAAGGGTGCGGAATGCACGAGTGAAACCAGTCTTGTCAAAACCCCTCGTTCCATTTAAGCAGCAGTTCAGTTTCACCAATTTCTGTTTATTGAAGAGTGCTGTATTCATGAGGAGATTTTGTACCATGTCACCAATGATGACTGTAGACATTGTCGACAAAAATTGGTTCGACGTGGAACCTACGGTGACTACATACTCATAGGTGTGTTTTTTGACACTACATGGCCACACTTGCGTACCACACTTGCGTCCAAGTTGTGTCATTTGTGCCTCGTCCTTCACCTCATTGCCATCTTTCATAGTATTGCCATGCGGTGACGCCATTATTAGACTATCTTTTCATGCACTCACTGAAACAAAAGAATCCCGCTGAATTGAAATCACGTCAATCATTTACCCAGAAAAAAAAAACTACAAGTTTAATGAAAAAAAAAAATCAGTAGAATTAGTAGCAATCTTCTTCATTTTTCATAGTGTAGAAAGATCCTATAGACTTTACTTATAAGGCGTGGGCCGGTAAGATAGCATCCTATATTTGCACGTCAAGACATAAAATTAACAATGTCATGCAACGGCGAATGCATCAAGCCAATGTTTTCACGAGTATACCGTATTTACTCGCATAATAGGCGCACCCCTAGTTTGGTCGCGGAAAATTCGATTTTTTTTAATTCCGCGCATAATAGGCGCACCCCGAACTTGGCCGTGATCAGAAACGATTCTACCCCCCAGCGGTACAGTTGGAACGCGGTCCCCGTACCATGAAGAAAAAAAGAAGGCAAATCGACGAGCAAATAAAAAAAATTCGAAGTGCAACGACCTAACCAACGTGTTTGTCGAAATAAAACTTGAAAAAAAAAAAAGCGTCCATGAGCGAAAAAAAAACCGGCTGTTCCATCAATTACTGATACCCCCCAAATCGCCGTGCTTTTTGGAGGTCACGTGTACAACGCCGGGGACTCGATCGCCATCACCACCATCAGAGAAAAAGAAAGAAACGCCATTTTGCAAGCGGTATGCGTATGTTGTGGTCGTGTATTGAACTTTGGTTCCACCATGGGGAAGTACGCGAGCTACACGGCTGGGTTTAAACTGAAGGCAGTGCAGTACGCGCTGGAGCACGGCAACCGGGCTGCAAGCAGGCATTTAGGCGTTGGAGAAACCAGTATTCGGTACTGGACGGACCAAGAAGAAAAACTTAAGGCGACGAAGAAGACACGACGGGCTTTCCGCGGTGCCAAGACCAGCAGGTATCCGAACGTCGAAGAGCAACTGGTCCGGCACATACGGGAGCTACGACAAGACGGCTGTATCTCGAACGCACTAGATGCGAGTGAGGATGACATGTTGTGGGGTGCGGATGATTCGGACACCGAAAACGAATCCCCGCTCGGCGAGGATGAATGTGTGATCTCCGACTCGGACTCCGAATAGGGAAAAGGAGGAACAGCTACGACTTTTGTGTAAATAAATTTTACGTGTGTGTGTGCACTTGACGGCTCTCGCTTGTTCATTAAAAGGTACGTAGGTATGTTTGTTTTATGCTGAATTAATTGGTAAACGATAAAGTCGCCTTTTACTTGACAAGTGTGCAGATTTAAAGCGCGAGAACCGAGTTGAAAAAATTTTCGAAAATTTTACCCCGCGTAATTGGCGCACCCCTAACTACGAGCCACATTTTCTGAAAAAAAAAAGTGCGCCTATTATGTGAGTAAATACGGTATGTGCACCTAACAGAGCACTGCTCATTTACTTGTTATCTAAAAAAGCAAAGCTCAATATGGCAACACACCCATAAAATAGTCTACAATCACAATTTCGCAGCAGTACAATTCATTCATCATTCAATGCGCAAAAGTAGCTCACTGCACTGATATTTAGCAAGAGCTTGCAGTCGACACACCAATATATATGAATTAAAATAACTTTTAAGTTGTATATGTGTCATGCCAAACTGACAAGTCAGCCTTCTTCAATTCTTCTTGAATAAAAATAGCAGAACACAAAGACATAAAGGTACATGGGACTGGCGCTATCCTGGTCAACCTGTCTGTGCTCGTGTTATTTTTGCACTACAGTATCTCTTCAACAAAATGAAAAACCAACTAGCCCCCCCAAAAAAATTTGCTAGACCATGCTGCTTTAGTTAGAGTACCACGAATTATCGCATATAGTACCAATATGTTGGAAATAAGAAATTATTGCATATAACAAACTAACAAACTACAGTGAGCTAGACCATATTGCTTTAATCAGAGTACTACAATTCATCAAATGTTACAAATTGTTGGATATCACAAATCATTACATAGAAGCTACAATAACCAAGCCATATTGCTTTAATTGGAGTACAGTGAATTACCGCATATAACAAATTGTTGGATATAACAAATTATTGCACATAACAAACTACAATTAGCTAAACTATATTGCTTTATTCAGAGTACTGCAAATTATTGCATATTATGAATTCCCATTGAACAAAATATTGCATATAGCAAACTAACGAACTACAATTAGCTAAACCATATCTCTTTAATTAGACTATTACAAATTATCGCATATAACAAATTCTTGCATATAGCAAATTATCGCGTATAACAAACTACATTGAATATACTGGACAGTCTTTCAAACGTTGGCAGCACAGTAGTGGCGTCGACTCACCTGCAGCAGACAGTGTGGTGCGATTTCGATCAAGATAGCATCGCTAGGCACGTGCTGAAGAGCCTCACGGAAGAGCACGGGCGAAAGCAGGTTGTTGACGTGGTACTCGGCCGAGCAGCGCTTGACAATGGGCTCACCCCAGCGGCTCTCGGGAATGGACGAGCTGACCCAGCGATCGCTGCGGAGCTTAGACTGAGGCACCACCTGCACAACACAAAGAGGAAAGGCAGAAGCTCCGTCAGGTTCTCACTGGCGCAATCCAATGAGTGGCACTTCCAAGCAGTCACGGTAGAGCACTTGCATCCGATTTTAACAATATTAAAAAAAGTAGGTAGGTGTTACTATTCAAGCACTTCGAATATTCCGACAGATATTACAGCACGTTGGAATTTGCTCTGCAAAGAAATTGAATTATATTCTAAATTTCGAAGCATTCAAAAGGAATGAATAGACAATGTATGTAAAGCGCACGTAACCTCCTGTGAAGCTGGTTTCACTGAGGCGCAAGGGTGATGCACTCTCAAATTGGGTGCGACATTTAGACGCAACATACCAAAACATGAAGTCTTGCAATGAATACCCAATTCTACACAATTATGTTTAACCAATTCAGAGCTCAGGAACCACGTAGTCCTAGGGACACGTGCGAAATCCGACGCAAAAGCCAGCACCTAAACAAGCCTACAGCCTTTATTAATAAGGATACCTGGGATATTTTACAATCAAAAACCACGATGCGCTGTAGCTGAGGGCTGCAGATGTTTCAACCATCTGGTGTTTTTTAACATGCACCGACACTGCACCGTACATGGGCCTGTACAGTGTTGCCTCCGTCGAAATGCGACCGCCGCAAGCTTGATCCTGGATCAAGCCTGTGACCTTCGGGTCAGCAGCCGAAGGTCGCCGAACCGAAAGTCGACACGACGGCAGAGGACTGTCGACAGCCTTTGCGACAAGGTCGAAACCGCATGCACTCGGGCCACAACAGCTAATAATTTGTAAATAGAGCAACACGAACAATCCATGCCAGAACCACACCGAGCAACCCCGCACCTTTTCCAAGGCCTGCCGAAGTGAGGGTCCGATGCTCTGCATCTGAGGGCTGTGGAAGGCCACGTCCAGGCTGTTCACCTCGCGGGCAAAGATGTTCTCGGCCTTGAGTTCGGCGACCATCTTGGCCACGGCATCGGCGGGACCGGACACGGTAACGGAGTCCTCGGCATTGTGGCAGGCCGGGATCACTCCTTCGGGGCAGCGCTTCCTGGCCTCCTCCCACGTCAGGCCTGGCAGAAAGAAATGAGAGCGTTTAAGGTGAAAGTGAAGATCCAGATGCATGTGCAGGTGTCTGTAAAGTTTGGATCTAATACTGCGATACGATAGCCCAAAACATTGTGCCTGAAAATTGTAAAAGAAAAACAAGGGCCTGAATATAAAGAAGACTTATTGGAGAGAACCTGAACGCACGAGGAAAATGTGTTCTGTTAAGCAGAAATTCTGTTTACTAAGAGATTAAGACAGGTGCAGAATTCCAGTACACATCTAATCATGTTAAAGGCAGTTGTTCGATTTATGCAGCAATTCTATTTGAGAGACTTCCTTTTACTGAGCAACTAAATAGACTATAAATGAAAACCGAGTTCACTGGTGAGCATTCATTCTAGAAAATTAGCAGGATCAGCATGACCGAAAGTTAAACTTTCTTGCCTTCTATTATTTTCCGTCAAAGTGGAACCAATCGGTTGATTAACAGCACTCGTGTTATCTGCCTTATACTCGAATTGCTTTCTGCTGCATGCTCAAATTTTGTTAAGATTGTCATTTCCCCATTGCTGCCTCTCACTATCAATTGCATCATTGCAATTTGCAGCACAATTCAGGCACAAACGAATGGCTTTGTCGACATTGACGCACTCACCAACAGCAGCCATGGCACCTTTAGGCAGGTTTCCCAGCTCTACACAGCGGCCTCGCCAGTAGGCGCACAGCACCGTCTGCTCCGCAGTGAAGCCACCATCGGCGTAGGCGCACCCGATCTCTCCGACAGAGTGGCCCACAATGCCGTCCGGGTGCACACCAACAGCGCGAAGCATGTCGACCAGCGCCACCTAGGAACAATGAAGTGCAACGAAAAATAGACTTTGTAGCCACCTGGGCACACATCTGTAGGTGGTGCAGGTGCTGGTGAAATTATCATGTCCTAGAATGCAAAATCTCTCAACCATCATGCACTTCTTTTTTTTTTTTACTCTCACACTTACAAAAAAGCAAACGTTAACTTTAGCAGGCAGATTTGTTGCGAAATAATGCAATTCTCACGAGCGATTGTTCATTTACTTAATTAACAAAATCAATGTCTTGTTTAAATTCATCAGAGTACTGTACACACAACAATGTGACAATGCATAGATGTCATAGCCATTTACTTCGTTTTATCAAGCGGTTCTTTACGTCCAGGTTTTACTGCGATGATGTTTGATAGTGACATGCATCTGAATAACCTTCCACAAGAGCCTCGAATCTAGAGGAAGCAATTGCTAACAGATCGAACGGTGCAATTGGTGAAGGTTTAACATTAATTGTGCGTTATGCAACACTGACGGAAAGAACATTGAAGAACAACATATACCTCCACTTGCTCTTTTAGCCCTGCTTTTTATTCCTCTGTCTGTGTGTTACTAATTTATAAATGATATTGATTGATTATATGTGCAGTTTAATGTCCCAAAACCACTATATGATCACGAGAGAAATTTCGACCACCTGAGGTTCTCTGACGTGCACTCGAATGTGACCACACGGGCCTACAGCATCTTCGCCTCCATCGAATATGCAGCCGCCACAGCCGGGATTCGATCCACCAACCCACGGGTCATATTTAGCAATGATAGATTAAGCAGCAATAGATCGCTTAATAATATTACACTGCAAAAAGATTATTAAGAGATGTGCTGCTCATTGCACCTGGGCAGGGTCTAGACACAAATGCAATAGGTAGCCTTCCAAGAGGCGTGTCACACACCTGAATGGCGGCAATGGAGACGAACGGCGACACCATGGTCTGGTTGTCAGCGTTGTCGCTGGTCACCAGGTCAATGAGGTCGATGCCAAACTGCTTGAGCAGCTCGTGCGACTTGTGGATGGAGCGGGCGAAAATGTCGAACTGCATCATCTGGCGGGCCATGCCGTTCCACTGGCATCCCATGCCGGTGAAGACAAACCACAGGGGCCGCTTCTCGAACGGCACCTGATCGACGAACTTGACGGCTTCCTTGCCCGAGCCGTCAACGGGGACAACAGCAAAGCCTCGGTATGGGAACTGGTTTGTACTGGGCTGGCCGACCTTGTTAAGGAGGGCGTACGCAGAGTCCGGGTAAGGGCCCTCAGCTTCGACCCGGTCTAGTGTGCGCTGCACAATGGAGAAACAAATAAATTGTAAGAGTTGACACATTATACATAAAGTCTGTCATGGAGTGGCACACACAAGACGACTACATTCTGCATAAAGCACCAAAGCAGAAGTTCCATGCATGCATCTTGTGTAAAATGTGGTGTTTAACATATGCAACACCATTACAGATACTACGCTTGTACTGACTATTGAAACTTGCTAATAAGGCACATGAAATTGCAACATAAGGCACAGCTACAACATTCATCTGTTGTCACTGTGCGCAGTAGATGCGCACAATACATAAATTTAGATCGCGCTTCTCACACTAACATTACAGTATTTCAGTATGGTGCCTATAGTGCAGTCAGATCTCCTTACAAATGTAGCCAACACATAAATTATATTCATTATTTGTTTCATCAAATCAAATGTATTGTGCCACAAAATAGATTGTTGTAACAGGCCAGCATCCTTCACTACAAAGGTACTGTCACACCAATCATAGTCGGAATTCAATCTTGATTACAATCATCCTACATTGGCTATCATTGCTTCTACAAACATGTTAAGTACAACACAGTCCATTGCGCCTCTAGTGATGCTCCCAAAGAAGAGCTAGAAAAATGCAGTCATTTATGGAGGGGGCCACGAAAACAGCTCCTCGAAAAAACCCGTCGAAGAGAATGAATCGCTTGAGCAAGTCCTACAGAAGTTTTGCTCTCATCAGGTGAATTTCACAAGAAACAACAGCCTAGTGGAGACGTCTCCACAAACACGCTGCACTTGTGCACACAATATATCTAAAGCAGGAGTTCTCGGCAATGCCTCAGAGAAACCTGCTAAGCTCTATAACGTGCCAAGGAACCCAGTCCTTGCCTTTATGCAAGCGTTTTTCATTCAATTCATGCTACATTCATGTGAATAAGTTAAAAATTAGTAGTATATAAAAATTTATTCACTGATGTGAAACTTAACTCCCTTTCCTCGCACCAACACATAGGCCTTAGACAGAATGGAGGTTCCTTAGATTGACTGCATCTTGGGTACACCCTCTAAGCGACTTCGCTGATGCGAATGGTGCGAAAACTTGTTAGTGGCTCGCAGAACCCCGAGAAAGTGGGGTTTGCGGATCTCGATCTCACTCAGAGAAACCATCGTCAAAATCGCAGCTAACCTCCAGAGATTCTTTCTGCCTGCCTGCCATGAGGACCAGCCTGGGCAGCTCGGGCTTCTCGCGAGGCAGGCTGTCCACGTGGGGACCCGGGTTGGCCTCCATGATGGTGTGAACGTTGGCGCCGCCAAAGCCAAACGAGTTGATGCCCACCAGGCCACCGGGGAACGGGGACGGCTTGTGCACGACCTCGATGGTGCCATCGTGCAGCGACGGAATGTTGGGATTGGCCTCCTTGAAGTGCAGGTTGGCGGCAATGGTGCCGGTCTCCATGGCGAGGATCACCTTGGCTATCGAGCAAACGCCTGGACGGCAGAAGAGAGAGGAAGAAGACGATTAGTGGACACTGATCAGACTTCACAGGAAGCTACGGTCGTCATTCAATGTTTGTACATGCTTCAATTTAATGAACGCCGGCATGAAAAACCGACAGAAGTCTCAAAGTATAGGGTCTCTCTGTAAAGACTTAAGACTGGGTCCAAAGAATTCGTTGATCCTGCCAGTGGACATATTCTTCAAAATACTAGTTTTCTTAGGTGCTGCGCCAGTTACAACGCAGTAGCCATGCTGCAAAGGCTCCTTGAAAGTCTGCTGTTGTGGCCTCTATCAGAGGCTCAGCGTAACCTATAAGATGGCAAACATTGTAAATACAGTGACCTGTTCGGCTTTTGTCGAGGTTCCAGAACAGAAAGAAGTTCATGTGACTCTCACCAGAGCTAACGCACTTCATATACAGTCTTTATGTGAAACCAGCAGACTTTTTTCTGTCCCCAAAATTCAAAACAAAATAGTCTTAAAAGTAATCGTTTCGAAGGTGTTTCTACTACCTTATAGGCTGTCCCGGAATCTGGGTCTCTGCAGAAAACTTTCAGGGTGCCTTAGCAGCATAGGAATCGCGTTGTACTTGGCTTAACGCTACCCAAAGAAACTTTTTGAAGAAGTTAAACAACATACACTGATTTGATCAAAAATACCTTTTACCAGACCTGGTCCCGTGAATTCGCAGACAGAACCTATATATAAGAGTACCGCTCGTCCCTACTACTTATCATTAAGGCTCATCAACTTCTACTCACCAGAGGCGCCCTCGGAGTGGCCCATGTTACTCTTGACAGAGCCGATCTTGAGTGGCTTCTCGCGGCCGGGACCACAGAAAACGTTGCTGATGGCACCCAACTCCTGCGGGTCGCCGACCTTGGTGCCGGTGCCATGGGCCTCGACATAGCCCACTTTGCACGGATCGATCTTAGCTTCGGTGTACACCTCCCGCAGAAGCTGCTCTTGGACCTTGCCCGACGGGAATGTGATGCCTGAAATGAAGCGTCGAAGAGCAGTTATTACTTGTACTCAGACATGTCCTCAATTGTCTGTATGCATGGTCGGCACCTGTGTATGCTGAACATGTCCGTATAAACGGACAATATGCAAAATACTGAAATGTGGACATATATGTTCGTATTACAGTTACGTCTATGCACGTTTGTATACACGGTCAGAATGTACATATACAAAACATGTCTTTATACCTGTACATATGACAAACATGTTTCTATATGAAGTATAGCTTACAGATTCATGGATCGTGAGAAATATGTGACAAAGATGCGTGAGATGACACTGGTGATTTAATCTTGTGACGACATGGTCTAGTAGTGAACATATAACTGCAGCAGCTCTAATCTCTTGTTAGCTGGTGCAAAATACGGCAACAATCATTAGCGAATATGCCTTTCGCTCTCCCCTCCTGCAACAATAATTTAATGTCCCTAACATGTCCCTGTTGAAGAAAGCATCCCAAAGGGTCTGCACCAGTGCTACCTCTGATGTAATTTGAGTATTTTGTGGTTGAAGTCTAATATATTCATGCACAGGCTGGAACTCTATGTCACAAGCACTCTATATCTACACCCACTTTACAAACGGAAGTCCTGTGCAAAAGATACGGTGATACATACCTTCATTCTTAAAACCGTCCGCGTTGGCCTTGATGTGAATCATCTTTGCGTAGATGCGGCGGGCCTCCGAAACTCGTTGAAGGAAAAAGACTCCAACAGTTTCACTCCGGACGTACCCTTTTCCTGCAAAACGAAAGAGGGGAGGACAGTCAGTTTAGGGATGTCAGCTTATCACCAAGAGATTGAGCAAATTGGAAAGAGCAGTGTCTTGTATCGTCATAAGTGAACATGATCCAAATTAAGTCTACGCAGATGACGCCCTGGTAACTGCAATCTTCTGGCAGGAAGTGCCTATGTTATGTGCAATAAATCAGACAGCCACTTATTTCTCTCACTAAATTTCTTTCATTTCTGAAGAACTCATCTATGCACCCTTTGCACAGGCTTTTATACTAGTTTCATTTGTCACGAACATATGTTCATTATATCCAGTGATTTGTTATCAATGTTTAACAGTTCCAGTCACTTCAAATGTGCTTGCTTATGTCCAAGAATTAAATATATACGAGCATGTCATAGTGTCAAGATTTCACTCATATGGGAGGCCCACCACAGCAGGGTGATTATATCTTTTTACATGTCAGCATAGGAATGTAATAACAGAATACTGCAGCTTCATCAAGATTCTAGCAAGCAATGTTAGCTTTTTAAACCATGCTGATTAAATGGGTATCACTGCTCCTTTCCAACAAGTCAGGAATACTTGATGTGTGATAGTATGTCTATTCAGTGATCTCGTTCTTCAGTTTAGAAGATAAATACAGTTCAGCTTAGCATTAACTTTTACATTTACATTAACAGACTCAATCGCATGTGCAGAGGCACATTTTTGAAAAACAATTGCAATTCGCTCACCATCCGAGTCGAACGCCTTGCACATGCCATCTGGGGAAAGCATGCCCAGGCGGAAGAAGTTGAGCGACGTGGTGGGCTTCAGAGTGAGCGTGCTACCGCCCACAATAGCCGCATCACACTGTCCGGTACGAAGCGCCAGCATGGCCTGGTTCAGGGCCGTCATCGTCGACGAACATGCCGTGTCGATGGTGAAGCTCGGGCCTGTTAGGAATGCAACGGTGCTTAGATGACAAATTAACGAACACGTTCTCCATCATAAACGTGTGAGTGAGGTTACAACACCTCAAATGATGAAACAAGTTTAACTTGAGACTTTGCCAATACACTCGATGCTGCAGACAGAAGTGATGGATCATGCTTGACACGTCAAAAAAAAAGTTCGATTTCCAGCTGAACTATTCATCCAGAAATAATTTCAACTTGAAAGACCTTCGCTTCCATAGTGCAGCTTAAAGTGGACGAACATCCCGACAGAACTTGGTTTCCAGCTGGGCTTTAGCCATGTTCTAGCTGGATTTTCATCCACTTCGGGAAAAATTATAGCACTATATAGCTAAATTATTGAACTGGAAGTCTTTCCAGCAGGAAACATTTCAGCTAGATAATCCAGCTTGACATCAAACCTTTTATTCGTCTGGACACGGCTACACATGTGACAGAACAAAGCTTCAGACAAAAAAAAAACGATGGGATGGCAAGTGATTGTCGGTTCTCACCGTGGAAGTCAAGCGAGTAGGAGATGCGGTTAGAGAACATGGCCCTGCAGCAGCCGACCAGCGCGTATCCGTCGATCTTGTCTGTGTCCACGTTGAACGCTTCATCCGTCTCAGACTCTGAGGAGCCGATGAAGACACCGATATTGCGCCCACGCAGTGTGGCTGGGTCGTATCCGGCATCGACAATCGCCTCGTATGACGTCTCAAGAAAAAGCCGCAGCTGCGGATCCATCACGTGCGCTTGCTTCGGGTGGACGCCGAAGAACTGGGCGTCGAAGTGTGACAGGTCGCGGATCTTGCCCTGTCGCTCCGGAAGACCCAGAAGACCTGAAGAGGCGAAGAGATTTAGATGAGACGAATTTTAGACTTGGTAGACGAGCGTCGAACAAGTTTTGTAAAAGACACCTAGATGTGTTTCAGCACCTACAGACGAGTTTTAGGCATATTTAAGCAGTTATAGACAAGGTCTAGACGTATTACAGCAGGTCTAGAGAAGTTCTATATATATCCCAGCAGTTGAAAACCCCTTTTAGACATTCTTCAGCAGTTGTAGACCTCTTTTAGACATGCTTCAGCAGATGCAAATGACTTTTAGATATATTTCATCAGTTGTAGACAACTTTTCCACATTTTAAATGCAGTACACCAGTTTTAACTGTGATTTGTATGTGGCCTAGCACAGGCTTTTTATCTTTGCATTCCTGCGGTCACCTGTCAAGATGAAATCTCGAACATGTTCCGGTTTTCAGATGTTTGGCTCGAGCTCACGCGGCTGGCCACAAGCCAGCAAGCCAGCAGTTGAAATGACGACAGCCATACTCGCTTCTGGACAACTGTACCAGCCAGAACGGAACTTTCGAAACCCGAGACATGACCATGTGCATAAGATATCAACCTTAATTTTGAGGCTATCTGCCTTTTCTACGGAGAATCGGAGCACCTCTTTTCTGTACTGTCGTACAGCAGTACAAATGCTGATGCATTCTGACAGTGCTGCCTCAGCAGTGCTCTTCGAAGGAAGGCGAGGGGGTCAAGCCTATTTACCTCAACCCAGAAGAAATGATGGTGGCTTCCAGGTAGCCTTAAAAGGTGCATACCTCCTTGAAAGGTGCATACAGCTTTTCACATAGATAAAAAAAAAGTCCGAATTTTGCCGCAAAGGCGAAGTAATGAACGCGGAACAACACATTGGAAGGTCACGTGCAGAATGACAAGCGGATCAAAACGTGCCCCGCGTTTCTCGTGTATAAATGACGCACGAAACCTACTCACAGGTAGAAATGAATGTGAATGTATCACTTGTTATCTCGCTGTGTCTGAAAAGCGCGCCCTCTTCGCAAACGGAGACTGTGCAACGATTGCAGTGACCTTTGTGCGCCCGGTAACTACAACAGAATCGTTCCGGTGAAAGTCCAAGGCCAGCCAAGGGGTACGATTGTCCTCACCACGAGGTCAGCAAGCGCACGCGTGAGCGTCCACCCTGCCTCCTCTCCGCGGGGCAAAGTACGCAGGGGAGACGGCAGCGCGCGCCGCTGCGTCGTGACGATGTGGCGACGCACGCTAATAGCGCCATCTTGCCGGTAATGCTCAACACACAATAGTCCCCCCCCCCTCGATATGTCTATCACCAGCGTTAAGCTGTAGATATTAATAGCTTGTCCTTTGAACATTGAAATAGGTACTTCTTTGTGGCTCAGTGGCTAACCCCTCACACTCACAATTCAGAGTTCCGGCGTTCGATTCTGGGCGCTATTTTTTTCTTTCTAGCGTTTTCATATATATAGATACGTATACATATACGGTGAGTTACGGCGACGCCGATGCCGGGGGCCAAATTTAGCCGAGAATGTCCATATATTTGCTATCGCAATGAAAAACGCCGCCATTCTGGGCTGCACACGGGAGTATAAAGGCTGTAGTAGCAGCCTCGGCAGTGCATTTTTGGAGAGTCCAGCCTATGTAGCACAGTCTAGAGGGGATTATGGCGACCTCCAGGGAACCATCTTTGAAAAGGTGTACCTTTTCGCGAAGAGAGAGAAAAAAACACCACCATGCTGTGCTACACGAGGGAATACAGAGGCTGCAGTCACAATCCCGGCAGAGCGTTTTTGGGGGGTCGTGCATGTTTGCCCTAGCCCAGAAGAAATTATGGCGGCACCCAGGTAGCTGTCCTTGAAAAGGATACATCGCGGTTTATCTGACCGCGTAAGACTAGACACGGGAATGCACTGCACATTGATAAATATCGAACTATTTCGAGCTCCGTATACCTCGAGGCCATCTGGTTTCTTCGTCTGTGACTAAATCGACACCGGCGTACAGCTTCTCCTTGAACTCGGCAAGGTGGTCTGCTTGCGGGAAGTAGGCTGAGAAGCCGGTGATGACAACATCCTCGTCTGTCATGGTTTATCTGCAACGAGACAGGAAATAATAAATACGTGTGTGTAACGTATACAGCAATGCCGCACACACACAAATATGACAGATTTGGTGGCGGCGAAAGGAACAGATCGAAAGACACGCTGGTCAAGCTTCATTCGACCTTGGCAGCTCCGACGCACGCTAAACGCCCAGTGAGTTTTCCGCAAGCTTTGCCGGTCCTCGACCATGCGAGACACACTCCGAGTCGTCTGCTATGCTGCTGCTGCTGAGCGATCGACTGCGGAGCAGACGACACGGTGACACGGAGAAATGCAGAGGGCTAGCAGACAGTATACATTCGCTCGATAAAGAATAGGAAGACAATGAGCAGTGGCGTGTATAGGCGCAGCCTGGAAATCACAAGCGCATAATGAAGTTGCGCACGATGCATGCCCCAAATGCGAATGTGCTTTTCATGCAGACGTGACGGCTGCGGACTCGCAGAAACACGGAGTATAAGCGCACGCAAGGCACATATCGACGCGACATAAACAGAATCGATGGTACACATCACGCGGGGGTCCAAATGAACTTCTTTCGTGTAGATCGTGCAGCAGACGACACTGCTACCTCTCTCTGTCATATGATCAAGTTTTATATATTCTAGCCTTTCGGTCGACGAAATCACTATCAATGATCGATAACGTTCAGGTTCACTACCCAAACCACAACCATCCTCTTTGATCAAACATGTCGATGCCTGCGTTTGTACGTGTGCATGTGTATACAAGTGTACGCAGACACACAAAGCTGAAAATTTTAGGGGGCGAGAGGAAGTTTACCCTCCAACCCGGATATGCCAGTGATATCCACTTAAACGTCCAAACTCCTCAGGGGCATCGTCCATACGAGCAATATAGTTGCGCAATGAACTGACGAATGAATTTACTGTCGCTATTACAACACATTTAGCCAACGCATATTAGCCAAAACGATTCCCGACCCCGACTATAGTGCATCGCAGGAGCAAGACAACAATCGCGACAAAAAGGCAAAGGAAAACAAGCGCGCTCGGAAAAACTACCATTGCTGCTGGTATGCAGACGACAGCTATCTCGCTCGGATGTCAAAAAAAAAAAAAAATCTCACCGCGAGGCGCGTTACGCCAACCGTAATTAATTCGAAACAGCTCGCTAATGACGCTTCGTAACCAACGACGCGCGACCAGAATGCGTTAAACGCATTCAATTTCCGGTCATCGAAAGCACGATAGGCCACGTGAACAGCCTCGGTGTGTGACGTCATTCCTGTACAACTCGCTAAGAAGCCTTTCACCGAAAGCGCGAAACGCAACTAACACAAGATAACCTTCAAAGCCCACAGCATCGCCATCAGTGCCTGCAGTGCGCCCGCAATCGGTGCAGGCCGAACCGATCGAGCCGCAGCTAGATTTTTCTTCGAGATATCTTCCACGGCGCTCCGCGCATACAGATGCGTAAACAACCGCACACTGTGACATCCGCGAGCTAAGAGGCTAGGCGGGGACTGGCGCGGCGAGGCATTCATTAATGTACAAAAACAACACGCCACGCATAACACCGCGGCGCTGACGCAGTCGCCACTCGTGACGCAAATTGTGCCCTCCCGCGCATTTTCAACCGAGCCACTGGGCTGTATTACGCGCACGCTTGTGTATGTATTTATGTATACAGTGTACACAGGAGAGAGACCTTGTAACGCTGGACGTAGAAGGAGGAAACGGAAAGAGGTGGTCCTGAAAATATGAAGAAAACTGGTTTGAACGATGCCGCGACGCGGATAAATGAGGCGCAACAACTGGACGGATTACACCTCCAACGAGGAACATTATTTAGATTTATTTGTTTTTAGGACACTTTCAAACCAATGAGGGATAATTATAAGGATGGTTAATGATAGTAAGCAAGGCTTCATGTCCCACAACGAATACGTGAATTACGAGGGACACCGTAGTGGAGCGCTCCCGAAACTGACCATTCTGGACATAGCACGGTATTTTGCCATTTAGGCTCCACCGAAATTCGACCGGACCGTAACCGTGACACCACCGCGGCAGACCAGAAGCGGGCTACAAGAGCCCATATATGGACATTGGGAACGTCTATTCAGATAAGTATACAATGAGTGGTTGGGTTACAGAAAATAATGAAAAAAAAATGGAAAAAGTGAACCTATGTTAGTAGGTAGGGCAAAAGTATGACACTACTCACCATCTTAGTTACATATAAGAAGCAATGCAAGAAAAAAAGGAAAGGCAGGGAAGTCAACCAGACGTACGTACGGTTTTCTACCCCAAAAAGTGAAAGACAGACAGACAGACAGACAGACAGACAGAGACAGACAGACAGAGACAGACAGACAGACAGACAGAGACAGACAGACAGACAGACAGACAGACAGACAGACAGACAGAGACAGACAGACAGACAGACAGAGACAGACAGACAGAGACAGACAGACAGACAGAGACAGACAGACAGACAGACAGACAGACAGACAGACAGACAGACAGACAGACAGACAGACAGAGACAGACAGAGACAGACAGAGACAGACAGACAGACAGACAGACAGACAGAGACAGACAGACAGACAGAGACAGACAGAGACAGACAGACAGACAGAGACAGACAGACAGACAGAGACAGACAGAGACAGACAGACAAGACAGACAGACAGACAGACAGACAGACAGACAGACAGACAGACAGACAGACAGACAGACAGAGACAGACAGACAGACAGACAGACAGAGACAGACAGACAGACAGACAGAGAGACAGACAGACAGACAGACAGAGACAGACAGACAGACAGACAGAGACAGACAGACAGACAGACAAATAGATAGATAGATAGATAGATAGATAGATAGATAGATAGATAGATAGATAGATAGATAGATAGATAGATAGATAGATAGATAGATAGATAGATAGATAGATAGATAGATAGATAGATAGATAGATAGATAGATAGATAGATGTAAATATCACAAGTGATAATAAGCGTCGAGGGTGACCTCGTAAAGCGTCGCGCTCGGCCGTGCATCCTTCCGGAAACGCTAATGAGTCTTGTATTTCCGTTCGGTGGCCTTCCAACAAGCGTGAAAATGTGTCATAATAAGAGCAGGAGCGCTTTATTCCAAAGGGCACACTGCGGCCTTGCAAGTGAGAAGGGCTCCGGCGCAATTCCGATCTCCCTGCGGGTCTTTCCATGCGCGTGCGTAAATCCACAAGTTCATCTGAGCGTCGAAAGTAAATGCTCGGAAACACAGTGCTAATTAAGCTAATTACTGGCACGCGACGAAACTAAGTTGCCCTAGGACGACTGGTCACTGGTCTTTGTAAATGTTAACACGCAGATTCCGATAGATGGAGAGAACGATGGAGGGAACACATGCCAACTATAATGGCGCCCAACGTGGGAAACCCGTAACCATGGCTACACATCCATTATGCTCTTGTGTTACCGACGACCTTGAACCCTACTCCCTATATATATTTCGCAGCGATGCAATTCGGAGCTACTCGTTTAGATTCGGACATTCATCGGTGACCAATCGGTGATAAGTTAGGGGCAGGTAACTAGCCCTAATCCCGAAACGTGATGATACCGATGACGCTATCGTCTGCTATATGGTAGTATAGTAGCAGACGTCCATAAAGTTAGTAGTTTTTGTCTAGAAGCGATCTTCGCTTCCAGGCAGTTAAAAGGGGACGCGCACAAGAAAGCACGCACTGTTTTCTGTTATCCTCTGCTTCAAAAATAGAAGTATAAGCGAACATTTCTAGGCCAGGTTCTGAATACGTTGTATAGACGACGTATACACGAACACGTCTGCTACTAAACACACGTTCATCATTATTATTATTATTATTATTATTATTATTATTATTATTATTATTATTATTATTATTAGCGATAGACTGCAATATGTTCAAACGGCATGGCCCTGAACTCACCAGGCGTGGCCATCGGGAAAGTGATAAACACATCATCGACTTTTACAGTGTTATTCTGTTTGTTTGTTTTTTCCTTCTTAGCGCTAGCCATACACATTGCTGCAGAAGCAAGAAAAGCGTTTGCTTTTCTTGCTTCTGCAGAAATGTGTATGGCTAGCGAACGCGCCAAAGCACCGTTCAAGTGAGCACATACTTATGACCACCAATATCCGCACAGCGTTCCTAGTATTTCCCCAGAGAACAACACTCCCTCCCCGTACATCGCTTTTCGTTATAACGACTCTTCGAATCCTAGCAACTAAATATCTACGGATGCCTTTACTACATTTACGCATGCACTTTTTTTTTTTTTTCGAAGGAAGATGAATGCGTCAAAGGGCAGGCAATTTTCCCGACAGCTTCGTGGCGCAAACTCCACACGCGTTACATCTGCGCAACAACCCCCCCCCCCTTTTTTTTTTGACAGTGTGTGTTTTTAACTCTATTGAATTCTCCCGGACATTCCCGGGCCCATTCGAAGCGCGAGTGTGAATAACTGCCACAACTCTACCCCCCTCCCCCCAACCCTCGCTCATACCTCCCCTTGTGACGCAACCATTTTGCACACTCTAAATTCGGCAGTTCGACCTAAGAAAACCTGCTTTCGTCCGCCCGCGGTGCGAAATAGCCTAAAAAAAGAGAGAGAAAGAGAGACCTGTCGCTCACATACATATACATGACCCAACGATGACCTCATCCTGCCCCCAAAACGTCATCGATCGCGTGACATCAAAACAGCTACCAAATGACATCGAAAAAACAAAAAAAAACCTGTTCGATTATTCACAAGCCACACGGTCCTCAAACTGGAGCTCCTGTAGCTCTCACACGTTGCAGGGAGTACGCGGAGAAGTTAGATCTATAGCATAGATACGAGATCTATGACGTCATCTGAACACCGTACGCCATGGTTCAATGATGACGTCACCACGCGACCTAAGACAGATGGGCCGATTGTTGAAATGGGCAAAGCCGAAGGGCTAAGAAATTCTAAGCTGATGAGCAA